ATGAAGTGATGTCTTACATTTAATCTAGCAAATTTTGTCTCTCCATTCCGTCCCCAGTAACTGAGTTCTAGTTTTCCATGTGGCTTATCATGCTGTTTCACACCTCGACCTTTGGCTCAGGCTGCCCTTTTTAGAACCCCCTTCACATCTGCTCTTTGCACGGGGTCTGTCTTTTAAGACACAGTCTGGTCTTCCCAGCATTCCCGGAGCTATTGACATGCAGCAAGTCTCTTCTCTCCTTTGTGCCCTTACTGTGTCTGTTCACTGCAGGTGTAGAGCTGTTCAATGATACTTGTCTGTGTTGATTGATTTTCATGTGTCTCTACCTCCCCTAGAATATAGAGCAGAATCTGTCTTTTATGTATATTGCCAGCTTCTCCCAGGATAATGCCTATGATCTGATGGATACAGTAAATACATGTTGTCTTCCTGACTGATGGATTGAATGACCAAGTGTAGGAATATGATGTTTTCTGATGTTGGGTTTTTGTTACATTGTGTTTTGTTTTTATAGGAAGAGGCAACAAAGCCAAAAACTGGGGGAAAAGAGAACGGCAGTCGGACTACTAACAGTGTTCTAAAGGAGCAAGCAGATCATAGCAAATTGGTTTCTACTGACAGAGCATGCAAAGTTGACAAAGGTGGTAAGTCAGTGAGCATCTGTGGGCTTTCTTCTCTGCTTAAAAGCTAGTGTGGTTGGAAGGGGGAGGGTATAGCTCAGTGGGAGAGAGCATTCCTAGCATGCACGAGGTCCTGGATTCAATTCCCGGTACCGCCATTAAAAAAAAAAAAGCTAGTGTAAAACATCTGAAGTGTGTAGATCCAAATATGATATCCATTTCTTCTTAAGTGTTTTTCTTTTGCCATCTTCCTTCATAAATATCCCGACTACGACCAAGTTTTCTTCCAGAAAATGCTTCAACCCTCTGAAATTCTTTTCTGCCACTTTAATTTATTGACGTATTCATGAATCGAGATAGACATATATATATTTAAACTTCCCAGTGGTATGTGTTCTCATT